ATCATAAGACGGCTGCTGCTGAACATCGGTTGATAGTTAACTCTGCTTGCTGGAATTGTTTCCTGAAACTGCACTGCTTGAAGGTACCAGGAACCTGCTTTCATCAAACAATTGTTGAACTGTATTAATAGACCTGCCCTTAATCAAACCCTGAATGGTTTCTATTGTTAAAACTTTATGAATTGATAATTAGAACACGTAGTCCCTCTCCCATTTACTTGCATGTATCATATTTTCAATAAAAAGGCACGATGATTCCTAACAGTTGTCACTCCTCAGAGAGCGATCTCTGGGAGTGTACAGCTGAGGACGTGCATGAAAAAGCACAAGGCCTTAGTCTTCCTTTCCTTCCAGCGCCGCCTCCGTCCAGCCAACCCACCCCCACCGAGGCTGGTCCCCGGCAAGAAGGAGCCTCAGAATTCTGGGTGTTTGGAGGAAAACCCAATTTAGCATGTCCAGACTGAGACCCCATGAGACTAGCAGATAACAGCTGAGGGCTATAATGGGAGACATGAGAATGCTCATTTGCTGGAGAGTGACCTCCTTGAATACAAAGGGTGGTCAAAGGAGACTCTACATGGCACCACCTTAGGTACTGCCTGTTGCTGGAACACACACCCACAAGTGACTGTGGGTAACCATGGAGGGTCAGGTTGCCTAACCTAGACCCATTATGGGTCTGTTCCTCCAGAACTGTGGGGACCTTCCCCAGTTACCTAATAAGGGGTTCTCACCCTTGAACTCTCTTCAAAATCTTTCATCTGGGAACAGCCCATGGCGATTAAGGGAGATGGATCCCACATAGCCAACTGTGCAGTTGGAGTCCAGACCCAGTAGCTTAAAAACATGCCAGGAACACATACATGTGTGTCAAAAATCCTGAAGGGAGGAATAAATGCAGAAGGGATTGTGGCATGACTATTCTCCATGGAAGATGTTTTCTCCTTCCCCCTCTATCTCCCTCTGTCCCAACCTGGGCGGACAGCCGAACAGGTTTCCTGAGTGAAGGAGTGAGAGCCGGGACAAGCGGCGTAGTGTTACAACACGGAGATGACAGTGTCGTCCGTTTATCATGGGCAGCACGGTACAGCACAGAGACGACGCAGTGTCACAGCTCGTAAGGATCGCGTCGTCTACCGTGAGCAGCACGGAGACGATGTAGTGTCACAGCTCTTCGGGGTCTCCCAGGTCGTCTGGAGACGATGCAGTGTTAGCTCTTCAGGATCTTCAGGGTCGTCTGGAGACTGCGAGGTGTTTCAGCTCTTCAGTCATCATCTTCCTGGTCGTTGTCGTCTGGCTACTGTGGGACAGGCATTGTGGTTATATACACTCTGGTGGGTTGTAAACAGTGGGCCATGATTGGTTGCTTTTGGACCAATCATGAGGTGCCAGATATGCAAATTTGAGGGATTCTAGTGGCCAATCAGAGCAAGGTTTCAAAGGTCAGGTTTTTTGAAGGGAACCAATCATGGTAATTGTTTGCTCCCTGAGAAACCTCGGCAGACTCGCCGGTGTGCAGCCTCCCACATCCCTCTGGTGAGCACATGAACCCTCTGGCATTTTATTTTTTTAATTAACTTTTCAGGACCAGCAAATGGCATAATGTCCCTGGACTCCCACATAGTTGACCAGGGTTTGAGTCCTGGACCCAACGTCTTAAACCTCATGCTGGGTTCATGTGAATAAGTGTCCAAGATCCTGAGAGAATGGAGAAGGGATTGCAGTTTGGTCATCCCCTGTAGGAAGGGTTTCTGGCTTTCTGTCTGTCTCTGTTTCTTCGGCTAGTGCACACGCCCTGTAACAAAAATCTCTTAAAAAAAAAAAAAGAAAAAGACTGACTTTTCAGGGGATTAGCAGGTGGCATAGTGGTTAACATACTAGATTCTCAGGACTAGCAGCTGGCATAATGGCTATGTCACTGGATTCCCATGTAGTCGATTGCAGTTCGAGTCCCGGACCCGGTGACTGGGCGCATGAGCGTATGTGCTCAAGATTCCAAAAGGAGAATGGAGGAGAAGGGATTGTGGTGTGGCTATCCTCCCTGGGTGGTGACTTATCACTTTCTGTCTTTCTGTCTCTGTATTTCTGGCAAGTGCACATGCCATATAGCAAAAACCTCTCAAAAAAAAAATAAATAAATAAATAAAAATGCTGGATTCCCACATGGCCAACTGTGGTTTGAATACTAGACCTTGAAGATCATGCTGGGCACTCTTGCATACGTGCCCAAAATTCTGAGAGGAGAATCGAGGACAAGGAGTTGCTGCGTGGCAATCCCTGCAAGTGATTTCTCACTTTGCCTCTCTCTTTCTCTATCTCCAGCAAGCACACGTGCCCTATGGCAAAAACCCAAGATAAATAAATACATACATGCATAATATATTTTCAGTGCTAGCAGATGGAGTGAAGGTGAAGGCAGCTGCATCCTAACATGGCTAACCGAATGGTTTGAATCCTCAACCTAGTGGCTTGAAAAAAACATTGGGTGTATGTGTGTGCATGCGTTCATGTCCCAAATCCAGAGAGAAGAAATTGTGGCGTGGCCATCCCCTTTGTGGGGTGCTTTCTCACTTTCTCTATCCAGCAAGCGCACATGCCCAATAGCAAAAGAAAAAAAAAAAAAAAAAAAATAAAAAGGCTTCAATCTGTTCCTCCCTTACTTGTTGATTGTGATCTCCGTCATGATATACGCGGTAGTCTAAAAAAAAAATCACAGGAAATGTATATTAAGGGAAAAACTGCATTGATTTCAACTTTGTTTTAACAAACTCATACTTTAATTCCCAGGACAGGCAGGTTATTGTACCTCCATGTACTCTCTTCAAGGTGGGAAACGTTGGCATGTTCTCTTACTCTTTTCTTTGAGAAAAACTAGTTAACTCCTCTGCAGATAAATATGCTTCCAGTGAGTAAGGCCACATGTGATTTGAGGTTGCATCTCGGAGGAGACCTCACTAGCACTAGTTTGGGTGGGTGTGGGATACCACAGTAACAAGTAGACAGTGTCTCTGGGAGAGCAGATAGAGTTTGAGATTGGATGAGATAGTGTGTGTTGGCACACTATGGAGGTATTTAGAGGGCCAATTAGTTTTGGGCTTTTTGGAGAGGTTTTTGCTATAGAGCGCCATGTGCTTGCCAGAAAGAGAGAGAGACAGAAAGCGAGAAATCATCCCCCGGGGGATGGCCATGCCGCAATCCCTTTTCCTACATTCTCCTCTTGGGATCTTGGGCACGCATGCACACGCGCCCAGCATGAGTTTAAGCCACTGGTCCAGGACTCGAACCGCGGTCGAATACATGGGAACCCAGCGACACAGCCATTACGCTGCTGGTCCAAGGAGGGTCAATTAGGTTTGAAGCATGTGCCCCAAATCCTGATGAAGGGAAGAAGTTGCAGTATGACCATGCCTCACTAGGTGGATGCTTTCTTTTTCTTCCCTCTCTCTCAGTGAGCCCTCTGGCAATACTTTATGAAAAAATGTAATTATATTGTAGTACGAGTTTACTTAAAACAAACTCTGTGGACCATTTTTCCTTTATATATTCTCCAAGACATACAGTCAAAATTCTGTATTTCCAATTTAAGTAAAGTATATCTTTTTCATACAGAGAACATGAATACTGGATACCAAATGCTTTTTTTTAACCTAGAATTTTACCTTCTGACATGTTAATTTGGTTCAATATTGTTTCATAATCACATGAAACTTGTATTTCTACAAAATAAAGTGTAAGGTTCCTTACTTAGAAGTCTAGTTCTGCCCCATCCTAACATGTCCTGTGCCTGTGTTTTCATTCTTCCCTTGGCTAGAAAATTTCAGCATCGTCTAAGCCCAATTGTGTACTGGCATTGGAATTCAGATGCATCCAGGTGGTAACTGTAGAACCAAGAATAGAGATCCTCCTCATTCAGTTTACAGTGTGGGAAACTATATTGTGCAGATGGACCGTCATATATTCACCTGTTTCTTGGACGTGAACATTTAAACTGTTTCCAAGTAGGCTTTTCATGAATAGCCTCTGCACTCCTAAGCACATATACTGAAAGCCCTTTTCAACTGAGAAAATACGCGTTACGTCTTGCCCTGGAGGTTCCCGGGCTTGGTAATCGGAATATATTTCTCTCTGTTCCTTAAACCACCCATTCTGGCAAGTTCTCCCCGCCCCATTCTGCTCCACAGACAAAGTCCGCACCGCTCCTCCAGGGGTGCTAGGACCTCAAGCCCGCGAGGTGCGCGTAGCCACAGGCTCGCCTGGGGACTACGTACCGCCCATCTACCCGAGTCTGGATCCCCACCACTCGGTACGGCCCAGGGTTTCTGCCTCAGAAGTCTATGCCTCCGGAGGCGGCCAAGTCCCGACCTCTCCAAGGAAGGTGCCCCCCGACCCCCGGGAGATGCAGACTAACCCTTCGAGACTCGGCCGCCGTCAACTGGGTGCGACCCCGAGCCGGTTCTCCGCTTGCGGCGTACGCAGGGGGGCG